AGTCAGTATTTTTGAAACTAAAGTTAAATAATATTTTCTGCTTTCATGAAGCAAAAACTTTACCTACATTCTGTTAAAGTGAGGCAGAATACGCTTCTCTTATCATTTGGACTCCTTATAGACAATCTAGCCCCCAGTGGCACAGCCGTAATTTTGCGGACTTACAACGCTAGAAACCGGGTTTCGATACCCGTGATGGGCAGAGCACAGATAGCCCTTTGTGTAGCTTTGTGCTTAACTTCAAACAAACAAACAATAGACAATCTAATGATAGGTAAAAGAGATTTAGTTTCGAAGTTGTACATCTATTTTGATTTACTTTTTCACGTCGTGTTCAAAATAGATCCACTAAGCGAATGTTGTTTTACTTTCAAGTTTTGCAGTAAATTTTCAAAGTAATTTTCTAGTAAAATATAAAGAAATAGAAAGGAAAACACCTTTATATTCAAAATTTTTTCTCACTAGTGGTTCATTTTGGGCTGGTTCTGTGGTAAAGCTCTGGATTCAAACCCTTACAATTCGGGTTCAAATCGGTGGGATACCACCAAATATTTTGCGACTTTAACCTCTGGGTGACAATTAAACCACGTTTCTATATCATCATATTCATGTGTTACAAGTTAGCTAGCATAGAATTTCAACGCACGGGGAGGAAATAGATCCCCTAGGGGGTAATATAGAGGATCAGATCCAAGCGCTGACCTATGCTGCTCCTTTGGGAGCTCTATGGGTACATGCTAAGCTTGGTGACAATCGATCCAGAAGTTTGTGAAATAATAGTTAGAGATTAATATTCTATTTTTTTCTTTGAACCGTATCAAGATATTGTCGTTTTGGTGATCTGATGCTTAATTTTATGTGTACTTCTGTATACTTTCGCTCAATACTCACAGCTTTTAAGTTACATGTATAATGACATGCTATAAAAACAGAAATAAATATGTAAAACTGAATTGAATTAAAGGAAGACCTTATAACATCAAAATAAAAGTTTTGTTTACGGATGAGGTAAGTAATATGTTCCTAAAACCTTGTTAGTTTTCAGAAAAACACTAAGTTTCGCTACCTTTAACTAGCATGGTCAAGTGGATACAAATTAATGATGGAACGAAATCGTTACTTATAAAGAGTGATATTACATTGCTAGATAACAAAATAAAATAAAAGAAATAACATTTTATATACGTGAAAATTCAATATAAATATAATTTTACAGCTGAGTACTGGTTAATGCTAGGTTTGTTTTTTAATAAAGATGCATTCTTTAATTTTTCTTCTATTTATATTATTTTCTCTGCTTATGACTTTTAATTCCTGAAAAAAAAAGAGTTCTTATTCTGAGACATGTGCTTAAAGATAAGGGAAGGGGTTATTAATGATGTTCTTTTGATATTGTAGACGCTTGTCGACCGGTTTCTCCAATATAAGAATTACCACAGTCTTTATATGTAATTTGATACCAGGATCCTGAACTGTTTTTGTCAACAAATTTTTACTATACAAGTTCACCTAGTTTTCTTTCTGGTATGAAGGAAACTTTCACATCGAAATCCATATTGTATTCTTCAGTTGCTTATAATCAAGTTTTCTGGATAGCATGTAAAAGCCTAGGGATATATGGTATAAAACAATAAAAAAATTATGATTTTTTTAATCGTTCATTGTATCTTCAGATTGTGATTCATTTTCTAGGGACGACAATGTGTTTTGCAATTTAATTTGTGATTTTAAACATTTATCTCTGATGAGAGGAGCAAATATTTTTATCTGTTTTAAAGAGGTCCTTGATGATCCCTATTTGTGTATGCGATCATGGAAAGAAGTTTAATGAATATAAACTCCCTAATGTGTGTCTTTATGAAAGACAATGGTACGAAACACACTTTCACTTTATTTTCAATCGAAACATTTTAAAAAGTAAATTTTTCAATCGATTTCATTCTCAAATGTAAACATGATGCTAGGGTGGAGTGCATTCAAATGAGAAAGAAAACAATCCATATAGTAATTTTCCACGACAATTACTCTTCATAACGGATCCAGAAGATAGGAGGATTGAGTGAGGTGGAGATGTCAATTTATTCAATTCTGACCATGAATAAATTAGCTAAAACAGATGAAACAGTATTTCCCATTCTTTCACAGTTGATCTATTCATAATGAACATTCTAAAATAGAAAAATTGTTTACGAGAAGCGGAAAATGTAAAAAAATCTTTGATGATGGAAACATCTAAGATTGTTTGTTTGTTTTTAATTTCGCGCAAAGCTACACGACGGCTATCTGTGATATCCGTCCCTAATTTAGCAGTGTACGACTAGAGGGAATGCAGCTAGTCATCACCACCCACCGCCAACTCTTGAGCTATTCTTTTACCAACGAATAGTGAGATTGACCGTCACATTATAACGCCCTACGGCTGAAAGGGCGAGCATGTTTGGTGTGACGGGGATTCGAACCTGTGACCCTCAGATTGCGAGTCGAGTGCCTTAACCATCTAGCCATGCCGGGCCAACATCTAAGAAATATTTAGGGTTGTGATCATTTTGAAAATATTCCAGAACATATAGAAGTGATTCTTCATATGCACTTTTGTGAATAGATTTTTTTACGTCATAGCTGACCACAAAGACACCCAGGTCTGGAAATTTTAGTTTTGTGATGAAAGATTCAGAGTTTTCGATAAATGAATAAACTTTAGTAGTAATTATTTGTTTAGAGAAGCCGATAGACAAGTGATTACATAATTAAAATGACATTTAAAAGACCCTTCCCTTGTGTTTGAGCACATGACTCAAAATTACACTCTTTTGTTTTTTTTTGGAAGTTAATAAAAACCAAAAACGTTAATCAGTATTGAGGGGTAAAATTACATTTATTTTAATTTTTCCTCTATTTAACACTCGTATTTGATTTATTCTTACACTGTTGCCAAGCGATGTAGTATTGCTCTTGACACTATATCACGTAACGGTTTCGTTCCATCATTCAATTGTATCCGCCTAACGATGAAAAACACTACGTTTCGCTAGGTTTAACTGAAAAACTAAAAAGGCTTAAAAACCCATATTACTTGTTTTATCTTTAAACAAAACTGTAAATATTTAAAATTTGATTGCTTTGCTTTAATAATAAAAGTCATTTTTTTGAGGTTCTAAAGTCCCAACGTTTTACCAAACTGGTTTTAGAAAGTTCTTTCGTGATGTCATAGCTTCTGATGGAACTACTTATTATGGGGGAAGGCAAGCACGATTGGCGTGCCGGACTATGTATCTGAGGTTTTATGGTTCGCGCCACGCTACCTAAAAATAAATAACACAAATCAGAATACCTAAAGAGTTGGCGATGTATTGTGTTAACTAGTTGCCTTTCCTCCAGTCTATCACTTCCATATTAGTTAGGACTAGCGCATATAGTCCCTCGGTAGCTTTGCACGAATTTTAACAAAATAACATGAAACGATTTTAATCTGCCAAAATAAATAATCAAAAGTTGAAAAAAAAAACTTTTGCTTTCATAATTTTATATATAAAATTATCATAATTTGTAAAGTTAATTTATATCAAGTGCTAATAACTTATACGTCAATATTTTGATAACAAATTAACGTGACTTACAAATAATTATAATTTCTGATTTGTTTTTCAAAGAAAGTTGGCCCATAAATGTTTCCCCAGTGAAAGCTGCTAACATGAAGTTATGAAGCATGGCGAGATACCTTGATAATGTGATTACTGAGTGTTAATCACACTTTATAAGAGCAATGTTTCAGGTTCTCTGTTGCTCACTCTAGTGGCTTTGTTTATGAACGTTTGGCTGACTTGTAATTTCTATTATAAGAAGATTCTACGAAGGATGCTTAAGTCGTTTAAACTTACATTCTGACAAACTTTCCGCAAGCCCTCCACTGTACGTGAATTTTAGATTTCAAGATCACATATAAAGAGACCAAAAAGCCCAAAAGTTTGTTTAATTTACACTGGGGGACCTAAAATATATATGAGCAAATGAAATTGTTATGATTCCAGTTTATTTTGTGAGCTTTAGCCTATTTGTAATACTTATTTATTATTTTGAAGATATGCCAACTTCATCTGAGTGGAGATTTGGGGGTTATGGAGATTTTCATAGCGATAATCTTCACTTTATAGACGAGGGCGTTGCTTTAGATTAATTTTGTGGTATGGTTTCTGAACACTTTTTGACATAAACGCTCTGTTGTGAGAGCTGATCTGGTCCTATAGAGAACACTGAAGGCTTCCATCTTTTAACATTTTCTGTTCTTTGGATCTTCTTTATTTAACAATTCCACTATGTAAAAATTCTGTAAAAGGACTATGACATATTCCTACAACCGTGAGTCCATATGTAGCGACTTTGCATTATGGGAGAGTGGTGAGAAAGTTGCTGTCAACTAAATAAATATATGTTAAATATGTCGCCTTTGGTGTCATGACTCGTATCTACGGTGACAGGTAATTGCTCTGGCTTACGCATGTCATTCCGTTACAATCAAGAAGGCTATTCTAAATAGATAAATATAAAATAATAGTTAGAATAATGTAATGAATTAAGAATACGCAATACTGTTTTTCTCTCTCTCAAATATCACTCTTTATATTTATATGTACATATACACAGGATGTGCTTTATTTATACATCGACTGTGAGCCAAGCCCCATCTAGTGACGGTTACATAGAACAATCCAACAAAAATCGGGATGAACTGGTGAAAGGCACACGATTGATTACTTGCAATACAAAGGATAACAGCATAAAAGAAATTTCACCTGATTACAAGATTATATAAAATGGCCGTGTTTGTGTTATACTTGTCATTAGGTGTTGTGCGACATCAAAAGCTTTCCATAAACAATATTAAAAAATAATAATAATACATAGCGTGAAATTTTCTCCTTGCTATTAAGGAAGATTTTATAATTAGAAAATATTTTAACAGAATATGTACATATATATAAAGAAACAACAACATTGCAGAGTACGGCAATTAAATTGTAAAACTACAAAAATTACGAATACCAATAATTTAAAAGTTTATGTTTACTTTTTCTAGATCAACAGTTGTTAGTGGTTAAATATCCAAGTTTAATTTTCAGCTGTAGTAAAACAACTTAGTTAAACTATAGTTTTAAGATCATGAAAACTTGGTATAAAAAGAATACAAGCTTCAGGATATCATTCTTATTTTTACTTAATAGTGGCATCTCTGATTTGCAACTCAGGTCCGTCCACTATTGTCCAACATGTAAATTTTAGATGGTAAGTCTCCAGAAACATCGATAAAAGATAAACAACTCACTTTAAAGTTCTAAGACATACTCTTGCAGTAAATGGAAAAATGATCTATAGGTAGAGGGCATATAAAATGATGGAAAGCTTCTTGTTTGTGGAAAACCTTTACCTCACTTACAATCTTATCTTTTAACACATTCATTATCTTTTCTTAGATTCTACGTCAGATTTACTCTAAGTCTGGTGTCTGTTGTGACTTATCACGCCTTTAAAACATTTTTCCTGACGCAGTTAACGTTTTACACAACTGTCATCACATACCTTTTCTTATATATATACATATACGTATGTAAGGAAAAAAATAATTACTAAATTTTGGCTGCTTTAATTTACTTCTTAAATAATTGTACCGTTAATAAACATCTAATGTTTGAGTGAAATCTTTGACGCACCTGAAACCAAAATTCTGTTTTTTTGTGTGTGTTCTGACTTTGATAATTGTTCGCCGGACTTTTGATTTCCATATTACAAACATCAAGAATAGTTACTGTGTTTGGTTGCGCTTTGTGCTTTTATGTATTTATTGATATTAAGATAACTGCCTATCGTTATGTGGTGATTCCTATTATTTTCAGTGGTTTTCGTGAGTTTTAATCTCAAACTTATATAGAAGAACCTGAAACATCTGCTACACTATCAAGCTCTATAGCTCCTCCATTTGTTGAAAAATAATAGCAAAACAAATTAATATAAATACTTTGTTAAAGCAGAGGCTAAATTATCGTCTTTCTGGTTCAAGGTACATTCGTACCAAGATTTGTACACGTTATTTGTATTTATATTAATCTATGTACAAAATCTGACAACTTTTAAAATCTAGGATGCGACTTTTCCTCTCATGAATAGTAAAGTAAGTTAACTGAATTTATCAAAATTTACTTCACAATACTTTCTTAAGCCATTAAAATTAAAGTGGAGTTTTTTTACTGTCATTGCACAAGAGAGTTTCTATCTGTCCAACTCTCAAGCTACTTAGAGTGAGATGCAACCAGATAAAAAATCTTGCAATAGACACTTATTATTTAAAATGATTAAATGAGTTTTTATATTGCAAATAAATGCATGATTGTTTGAGACAAAAAAGAAAGAATTAAAGACGAGAATGAAATAAGAACAATAAAATATAACTCTTTTTGATGGCTAATAATGAAACTGGTGCTATGATTGTTTATAATTTTTAAAGGTTTTACACATTACGTCAGGAATGCAACCATTAATATTTTGTAACTTTTTTCCACTGGAGAGTTTTTGATTAACATATGGAGAAAACAAAATTCAAGGATTTCTCAAAAGATAAGGACGGAGAGATGTAAGTACTTAGTCTTGTTTCTGTACTGAGGAACTCAGGAAGACAATCACACTAGGGAATAGGAACAAAATTCTGACGCCGTGTAAGGAAAATAGAGGAAGACCCATGGTAACAGCAACTGGAAAATAAAATTTTGGTTAGATCTAATGGCAGCTTTGCATCTTCTCAGACGAGAACTATAACAAAAGTATAGTTTACAAAATATAAGCATCTTGTTCTGCATTGGAACACTTTGAGTAGAGATGATTTCTATCCAGTATTCGATAGTAAATTTACATGGATATTCTAGACAAAAATGGCATGCATAATGAATTGTGATAGATTTGTTTGTTTGTTTTGAATTTCGCGCAAAGCTACACGAGAGCTATTTGCGCTAGCCGTCCCTAATTTAGTAGTGTAAGACTAGAGGAGAAGCAGCTAGTCATCACCACCCACCGCCAACTCTTGGGCTACTCTTTCACCAACGAATATGTTACGCAAAAAAATAAAAAAGTATCAAAAAACGACATTGCCCTCCTCAACTTTCTCTACACATTAAACTTGTCTAGTTTTCTAACTATAATTTGAAGATATCTCTTAGATATACATCTCTTGAATTATATGATGCTTCACCCATTACTTCTTTGATTTTAATTAATATTATGGTTGTTTCACGATGCAAAGTATTTAGCCGGTATGAATAGAAATTTAAATTTCATGTACATATTCTGAAATTATAGAAATTCTGGTTAAAATAAAGGACTTTTGACAATTAATTTTTGCTTGCATGAATAAAATATTCTGTTATTTTATGTTCTGAAGTATATTTAACATTGGCGTGTTTGGCCTTGAAGCTCCAGGAGAAACATTTGTTACCTAGAAAGGATGAAACATATAACGAAAAGATTATAATTGTGCTGCATTCCTCTTTGAAGTTTCTTGAATTGTCAGTGTCTGTGAATAAACTATACAAACCTATGGTTATAGCTTAGCCTTCTATTTGTTTATAATAGAAATATTATAATTTAAAGTATGGAGTATTCGTACCTAGACTTATTCGCTCCAAAATAGAATTAGTGAAATAGGGGGACAGAAGTTCTTTTTTTCTGCTCTCCGGCAGTTGTAAGGAGAGTCTATTCACTAAAGATGATTGAAGATATGTAAATAAAAGCTGGATAATAATCATTAGTTCATACAGGAGTGTTCTCGAGACCAGCTATAACTGATCGTGTATTTACGAGGAGAGAACCGGTAAAAGAAATTTGAGAATTCGCGTGACCTTGGTGACTGGGTCGATGTGTAATCTTAAGAAAGCTCAGATATGATGAAAATGGAATTTTGGTACTTTAACAACCTTGTACTGTCTTTTGAGTGTTTTTATATTTTTGTAATATGATTGATTTTCTACGTCAGCAGTAACGTTTTTACTTGAACCTTTTCTGTTTTCAGTTTCTTTTTCTCAGGTCTTGCTGAAGTATGCTGACTGATTTATTAGTATAAAACAGCTCTGTCTAATTTTTTTCATGGCTTTCTTACCTCCTAAAATTATATTAACTTTTGGCTTATAAGAACAGCAAAAAAATGATAGTATTCACGTTAGGTGAAATCAAAATGATGCTCATGTAATTTGTAACAGTTCTGATAGTGGGAGGTAAAGAAAAGTCCTTTTATCTAAGGTTAGTTATTACGTGTTACAAAGATTCACTTACGGCAACTTGTGCAACAAACTTAAAAAATGAAAACAAGATCACTGTTAAAATGCACAATAAAATTTTTGTGATGACAAAATGCAGTAATTAAAAAAGCTTATTAAAACGCTTTAATTCCAATATAAATAACAAACTATTATAAGAAAGTTTCGAACGTATTGCTCTTGATAATGCTTTTTTAAAACCTGGTTGTTGGATTAGATTTGTTGATGACACGTTCTTGGTTTGGCGGCATGGAGATATTGATTTAAAACATTTGTTGATTATCTAAACAATGTTGATCCTTCTAAATCTGTTCAGTTTACGTATGAGATTGAACAAGATAATTGTTTACTTTTTTCATACGTATTTGTTAAAAGAACTAATAATGGAACTATTTCCACAACTGTTTATTGGAAACCATATACAGTCTCCATGTCGCCACATCAAAGATCATATCATATATTTTCTGAAAAATTAACAGTATAGTAATATTACCATATATACAAGGTATAACTAGCCAAGTCGATAATGTATTCAGACAAAATAATAATATTCCTATTTTTAAACCATTTAACAAAATAAAAACAATAATTCTTAGCATATTTTAGAGAAAAAAATGTATATATCAAATTAGGTGTGAATGCAACAAAAATATATTGCTCAAACTAAATATACTTTGAAATATCGTCTTAATGAATATATAGGTTGTGTACGTAACAAAAAAAATGCTAATTTCTCTTCTTGCTGAACACATTGTTGAAACAGGTCATTCAATACAATGCAAAGTGAATTGAATATTAGAGAATAAATATAAATTTTGTGCGGTAAAATGATTCCTTGTTAAATAGAGATGAAGGGTTAGTTGGTGATATCGCACAATTTTGTAAAGAAATACTGATTCTTATGTACAATACCCATACCACCCTCATAGATTACAATGAGCTAAATCTTTTCTTTATAAAATTACCCCCTTGTCATGTAGATTTTCACTGCTGATGATGGTAACGTAAAGGTATTGAAACGTGTAGAGTCTTTTTAATTTTGACTGTTGGCCAAATAAAATTTTATTGCGCATTTTAAACGTTGATCTTGGTTTTATTTATAAAATTAGGTGTTAAATTTTGAATGCTTTTTGCTCTTTAATAAATTTGCCACTTCTATTAATCTTTTATTACCATATGCTAGTGCTGATTACAACTATCTGAAAATTAGTTTTTGTAATTTGCATTTTTATATTCAACGAGTTTTAGTTTTAAAGCTGTTTATGATGATTAGCAGCTTTTTGACAGTTTTTTTAGTATGCAGAAATTTTGGTTTGTATCCGATTGATTTTTTTTTGTAAATCGATAATAGGTCTGTAAGTCGAAAGTGCTCGGAAAATAATTGTATGAGAAAGATATTTTGTTATGAAATGTCACCTAGCGATCTAGTTTTTTTTGATGAGTTTGCTAAGCAAATTGTAGTGAATGAAAAATTATAAACTTAAAAGTGTAAAAGATATAGCTTCGTTTTGTTCTTTATTTATCAACAAAACTGATGTTTACAATATAGATGAAGGCTCCAAGTCATCTTTATATAAGGCGACAGAATGAAAGGCCCATGTTTACAAGCATTGCATTACGTACCTTCACATGCTACTTGGCCTCTCTCCACTGGAGCCAGATGGACTAGAGGCGGATTGACAACACGGACCCGATCTTTCTGGAGAGATGACCTGTTGTGCTGATCTTAGCTTAACATCTGCAATTAGATTGTAGCAGAGGGTTTCTAAAAATGTAAAACTTTTTTATATATCTAGGGAATAATGGGAACAAAATATGACATTAAAATACTCTGTCCGAGTAAAATAGTATAAGGGTAAGTTAAACTACTAAGTAGCCAGGCCATAGTCAATATATCAATACATTATTATAAGTTATGTAAAATTTAAAAATTTAAAAGTTATATTATGTTCCTGAAAATATTCATCTATTTTTCAAATTTCGAAAACTAAACAAGTATCAGAGCTGGTATCTTATTCGCATAAAAATAAACAAGTTTCAGAGCTGGTATCTTATCCATAAAACTAAACAAGTTTCAGAGCTGGTATCTTATCCATAAAAATAAACAAGTTCAGAGCTGGTATCTTATCCATAAAAATAAACAAGTTTCAGAGCTGGTATCTTATCCATAAAAATAAACAAGTTTCAGAGCTGGTATCTTATCCATAGAAATAAACAAGTCCAATACGTGATTATATAAAATCAACATTTTATTGCAATGAAATGAATGCAGTTATTTTTCTGATAAATTAGCAAAATCATTGTAGTAACAATTAATTATTGAAATATTTTTAGAAAAATTTATAGTTGAGAAAATTCAGCGTTTATATGATTTTAGTTGTTTGTTCCACTTTTCTTAGACGTTTCCATTTTCAGGGTATTTAAATATTGAATATTTCTACAGTAAGCTAATATAAATGACAAATATATCATATATAAGTTTAAACTCTCAAAACTACATAATAGTTTTAAAGCTAACAACAGATCTTTTACTATGTTAACTCCTTTAACGTTAAATTGCTTCGGTTTAAACATACTTAACAAAGAGCACTATTAATATGACTTGGTCATTTAAGTAGTTTTAATGGCTTAAAGCCAGATGGCCTTTTAACTTGTCTTGTAAGAAAAAACATTAATAGTCACAGCAATGAGCGAGAGATCGAATCCCAAGAGATGCTAACGTGGACAAAAGGCTGGTGGTGACATCATTTGTAATACTATGCTATTCTCTGGTTCTGTACGGCTAAAACCTTAGGAACAACAAGATTGTAAGTCTTAAACCTAACAAAATACGTAATGGCTCCATATTTGACATCTGATATGTGTAAGCAGAACTAAATATCCATCAATAACGCAATTATTTTGCAATATATCATTATTACAGATAGCTGTAGCTTTGTGGAATATTTACACACAATTCACTTTTGTGACGGTAAATTGAATAAATACCTCATTTAGAAATCTTAGACTGCCTTGAAAACGTTCCTGCAAGATTAGGTTAGTTGCAAAAATTTCGGAATATCTATAACAGTGTAAATTGAAAGCACCTAAATAGTCCTATGTATGAGACAGAAATGTGAATGTCTAATATTTGTTTATCTACATCAGCAATAATATTTTTATTGAACCTACGTCTACATATTATTATGAAATGTATAATGCTGTTACACATGCGCTTATTCAAAGGATATAGAGCGTACTGATATGAAATGGACTCGATGGATATAAACCCGGAGTACGAAAATTTAACCTACCGACTCCAACCAAAAGCTTAATTACATTTTTCTTATGTACAATTGTCTACCGAATTCAAGTCTGCAAGTATTAAGTGCACCCGATGGGTGAAAAGACTTCAATTTTGACTTTGAAGTAGGGTACCGTCAATACAATCCAAATTCGTCTGATAAATACCCATTTCTCTTCTAACACTAAAAACTCAAAAAACGTTTGTAGATATAATATAAAAGATACTTTTTTCTCAAAGGTACAATGAATAGCTTCAAAATAAATTAACTTGCAATCAAATCATTTGGGTATTATGGTAGTGTTAAATCTCATTTTTATGTCTCGCTTTCGGGATATATATTTTTTTAATTTCACAAAATTATTGATAATCATTTTCTCTAAAAATGTTTTCGATGGGGGTATTAAATGACTATTCATTGTAAAGCCCTATCGTTTGCTATTAAAATGAGATATTATTTACAGCTCTATGTAATATAGCTTTCATTTTATGGAAAAAATGCCAAACCTACTTCCAAGGCAGCAGTGGCTGTTTTTTAGTACAGCCTTGTTTTGTGGTCTTCCTCTAAATAATCATTTGTTTACTGATTTCAAAAGAATGTCATTTACAATTATTATGGAATGAAACAATCATTCAATATTAACCATTCAGTATCTTTATTACATTCCAACGTATTCAATAAAGCAGTATGATTAAAGCAAAGAATGAAATAGTGCAAATCTCACCTATCAGTGCTTAAGCCATTGCTCACATTAATAAAAAAGATCGTGGACTATCCTATTTGACTTCACATCTCTTAAAAAACACAAATTATATATATATTTGTAAAATCAAATGTTTATTCGCTCCCAGTTTACTCATAGTTCACTCAGTACTCTTCGTCTGCATCTGAAAATACAGACTCATCACTCTTAAAATCATAAACCTGGTCCTAAATGTTGTCATTGTCTGCCTCTGTAACATGTGGAATGTCTTCTAAATGAGACACCAATTCTTCAGGTATCTGTGAACAACTGAACCACCTAATCTTATACATGCCACCTTCTTTATGCTACTCAGACGTTTGTGGATCTCACTCATTCAAAGTTTGAGTACTTGCACTCTTCTATGAAGCTGCTACAAAGGGTATTAAAGAAAGAAAGCGACAGCGTAGCGTATAGACCCAATAGAGGTCTGCCAAGATAAAACCAAAAACAAGTAATCCGCGGAAAAAGGTTTGGAAACCACTGTTATAAATACGTCATTTCTTTTCTATAACGTTTACAGACATTAGCACATATACTGTACCATAAATTCCTACTCTGACTAGCCATTTTTAGGTACACCATTTAATATCAGTTTTGACTACATTTCTCATCAATAATATTCTGCAATTTGTTTGGAATGTACTGTACAAGAAGCCAGAAAGCATCTTCTTAGATCTTATCCTATTGGTTGAAAAGTATGGTCTGCTATTGGTTCATATATATTTTCATTGAATTACAATGATGAATGCGGCACTTAAGTGTCTCCAAACGTTTCACAATCAGAATAATATTCCGTAGCTTTACTGACCAAGAAAGATTATTAAAGTTACTGTCATGCCATTCGAACCAGATTCGAACATACCAGTACGGTAAAATGTTGCATTATGATCTTGGAAAAGTCTTTGTAAATCAAAATGGAAATTTAGCAGATTTACTCCGGATCTTATTTGCTCTTAAAACCAAATAACGAATTCCCTGATACGAAAATGTTAATCTCACACCAGTCATTATTTCACAGCCTTCAATCGGAACAACATAAGGAAGAAGTGCCTCTTGTATTTTATGTAAGTAAAACAAATAAAACAAAATTTGATAAGAGATTCACTAGGAATGAGTCATTCATTGTTCAAAGTTCTAAGTAAACACCGCTGAAGCCATTCTGTCCATCTACATTAGAAATATTCAGTTTTCAGACTGATTGTTAACTGTTATATACGTATATCAGTTTCTATAATACTCTTAGTTTCAAGTAGTCGAAATCTGACTACTTTGAAGGAATCAGTCAATCCGGACAGTCTGAAAACTGTTGAATAAATCTTCCCAATCTTTTTCTCCCTGTCTGTCATCAGTTGTTGGAGATCACAGGTTTTCGTATTGGCAGATGTATTCAGTTTCGATTGGTACTGTACATATAATTCGATGACAGAAGTTGTTGAATAGTTCAGTCACAGAAACGGTTTTGAGAATAATGCGCTTAAATCACGCTACTAAATACTGATGTATATTCAGCAAATAACAAGTTTTTTGTAGTTTTCTTAAATGATGGTTGTGCAAAAAATGACAAGCAAAGCTACACGAGGGTTATCTGCGCTTGCCGTACTTAATTTAGTGTAAGACTAGAGGGAAGGCAGCTAGTCATCACCAACCACCGCCAACTCTTGGGCTACTCTTTTAACAACGAATAATGGGTTTGACCGTCACATTATAACGCCCCTATGGCTGAAAGGGTGAGCATGTGTGGGCATTAAACGGAAGATAATGTACATTCGAATATGTTAAAAATTCTTGCAGAGTAATGAATATACTTGACTTGAGTCATTGTTTCTAAATTGATATTTAAACTGCAGTTGAGTAAACACAATCATTCATATGAAACATTGTTTATCATGTAAAAATTTAACGTAGCTTTATCACTTTGTCATATAAACATGATTCAAATCAATAGGTTCATCTTGGTCAAAAATGAATTATTAAATGTTTGTACAATGGTTCTTATAGTAGATTTGAAGTATTTTTTCTCATTACTTTAACTTATTTGTATTCCTTTGTTCGAATGTCCAGAGAAAGCTCGAATTATAAAATAATTTCTCTAAGTGTACATATTTGTTTATTTGAATCTTCGAGCAATGCTACACAATGACTATCTACGCTAACAATCATTAATTTGGAAATGATGAGGGTAAGTGTAAGGCAACTAGTTTATTATTGTCCACTATTGGGCTACACTGAGCAAGTAGTTCCAGGCATAGCGTGATTTTTGCGGCAACAGGATGTGAACCATAGACCCTACCCTTCGCAATCCGGAACGCTAATCGCTAGGTCATGCCCGGCAATAGGTGTATATAGAATTGTATTAATACTGAATAACCGTTAATAATTTTAAGCACTTACCTTGGCTCATTGGAGGCAGATAACAAACAGGTCTCGGTGGACTTCTTTTTATTGTAGCATATGGACCATCGTTTCTTGTTTGCTAAAGAAGATAAAATAAAATAAAACAAATTTTAAAATAATTAAATTAAGCTCATTGACATTTATGGTGTGTTCTTTTCTTTATTTTTTACGTATGGTGTATTATATCACATGTAATTGTTTTTCATTCAACATTTTTCTTTAGAAAAGCTTACTTCATGACGAAGGCAATAAATTAGCCCTTTCTTTATTGACAAAGTCTTTACATCTTCTTTCGAGGATATTTGAGACAGTGTAAACAAAGTAAAGTTTGATTTTAATGGACTTCTCCAGCTTGTTTCTAGAGTGAAACGACGTTTCGGCTCCTACACTGAGGCCATCTTCAGGTCGAAGTCATAGTAGGAATTTTATGTAGAACCCACAGGGGGGGGATAAGAAATTATATAATCTCTGTCCATCCGCTTTCTCTCGCTAGAAAGTGAATAAACTAATGCTGAAAGTAGAATATTTTGATTAGATTTATAACCATGGATGTTGATTTTGTCTCATTTGGGAATTAGAGCAGGAGAAAACTGAGGGAATAATCCTAAGGTAGTTTATTGGGAAATTTGTCAGCTTTTATAAGACTGGTAAACGCCTGTGAACTTTTTTTGCCCCTCGGTGGTACATCGGTAAGTTTAAGACTTACACTGCTAAAATCCGGAGTTATATTATCCGCGGTGGATACAGCAGATAGCCCCAGTGTGGCTTTGCTCTAAAACAAACGAACTCTTTATCTGATGCTATAGTCTTTCGTAACTTTTTCCAGGAGTTCATTGAATGTTTACCAAATTTGATGGCCAATAGCAGCGACAGTCCATGGAGTTGGCATTTTCTTCGTCGTTTTCCTACCCGACAACGTAGAGTCAAACTATTTGACAAAGTTGTATATGGTTTGTTTTTTTATTATTTGAATGTTTGTCTGGGTTTAATGTTCAGATGTTGAAGCATCCGTTGTGGATTTTATATTTTATTTTCAGCTGAAGGTTGAGTTTTGTGATCTATAACAAAGATTTGGAGTGTTGTTGTTCTGTATCTTGAGTTTATAATATAATTTTGGTGGAGGTATGATCTTTGGAAGAAACAGCAGTGTTGAAGTATTCGATCTGTTAGCTGGTGCGAGTTTACCATTACTTTGAAATGTAGTTCTTCACATTTTGAGTTGGTAAATCATCTTCTAGCACTTCTTTAATTTCCTGAATAACGATAGAAAGGTTGACGTTTCGTAAGAAGATACTTTATAAGATATTATTGCTTTCGGGAAGATAACAGTTTACATGATCTGAAGAATTCCAGCAAGCGTATACGTGAATGAAGTCTTCAGATTAGTGATTAAACAAAAATACCATCATGTTTGAAACGTCCTATTTTGTCTATTTGCTTTTTTGGCGGTGAGTTTATACATTTTTATGAAGTTCTGTGATCAAATTCCCTCCTATGTGCTTGTCTCTCCGTTTCACTGTGAGTAATTGGAAGTGTGTCGTGTGTCATTTTCTGTATTTTAGTGAAGGAGTTTGTTATTCTTCCTGTTTAATCTAACAACCGTCATCTATCTCAAGATATTTAACTTCTAGCCTTAGAATCGATCTCATTCAAAAGAAGAACTCCAAATAACACGCAGACAAAATGTTTGTTATATAGCCACACTTCAAAAACTCTCTACAGAAATATTTCCCGCCTAAACTCAAGAAAACTTCATACAAGTTCACCATGGAAATTCAAAATTAATGATACCGATTTCCTTCTTGCTTTATTCCCCACCATGAAATTACTTTGTCATTGAAATTTACTAAGTTAGAAGGTAAAAATTATTAGTTTCGGTTTTCTTAATTCTGAAGCTAATTGTTCTATCTGGTTCACCACTGTAAGTTTCCCATATACAAATAGGACATTTTGTTTTATATTTTGTTACTTTTGCTCATAACATATCTTACAATTGTTAATTGAGATTTGAATGATATTTCATTGCTGAATTACATTATAATTTTGTTTTCCTAACTTGTGAATTAAATTCGGAGGGAAAGAGGTGATTATTGTATCAGCGGGCTTGGGCTATTCTTGTTGAGTTTTGAGGTGGTCTTTAAGAGCTTCATTGAGGTAATCATTGCATATGAAAATTTGGTTTCCAAGTGTTACCATGCATTACAAAAGAAGTTAAGAATTGAGTTTCAGGTTTACGTTAGTGTGTAAGGATTGAAAAAAAAAAACAACAACATAAACTCTTTGCCCAACTGCAAGTAGACAAAAACTCAGGCTCAAAGTTGATGGTATTTTTGTTCAACACTAACATCTGAAGATTTCTTCTGCTTATGCCCTGAAGTGAAAAAGAAAAAGGATATTAGGTAGGAAAAACTTAAATATCACTTCTTGGAGGTATGTCACAATTGTTTTGAATTATTTTGACTTACACATTCTAAAAGTTTTACAAATGAAAAATTATAAATTAAAGTTAGGTCAATAATATTTGGTGGGCGTATAATAATAGTATATACTGAGGATATGGAGACTAACCCTGAGCTGATAAAGATGGATAACTCATTTTTGCGAATGTACCAGTAAAAACGTTCAAAGTGTCAGTAAATTTAATATATTGGTGCTTGTTTGATTCCGTTTGTCTTGTTTTACTCTGGATGGTTTATAGTATTTTCATGATTCTACAATGTTGTTTAAATTCAGATTACTGGGGTTTTCTTACTGGATCAAGTGAGGTGAAGTCTATATAGGTCTTACATATGACCAATCGTCTCCATGAAAGTCAACATTTTGGTGTTTTATTTAATTGTGAGAGAAAAATAATTATATTTGTGCATAGCAGAAACTTGCATGCAACATTTTGGTGGTTTATTTAATTGTGAGAGAAAAATAATTATATTTGTGCATAGCAGAAACTTGCATGCAACATGCAACAACTGCATTATTTATGTATAAGATATTATAAAATTATTGCATTTTGATAATCGTGTATTGTGAATTAAGAACACTGACATTATGTACACTCTGTATATGACTTAATTGCATGTATTGGGATATGGAATGAAATGCATTTATCACATATCTCCCACCTGTAAAATAAGGTTATTTAATGTTGTGATTTATTTGGAAATAAGTGGGGAACACTGGTCATTTTAGGCATTTCAGCATGATTTCGGGCAAGTTTTGACGAGACAGTACACTTTTATTTTTTCGTGTATCTACCCTTAGTCTTGATTCACCAAGTAAGTCTGTTTTTCGTATACATTGTTTAAGCTTATTTATCTTACAGATTAGCACACGTCTTGGTGGAATCTACAAAGTTCATCTGATGTTTCCCATATATAACTAGTTAATAAAACTGAATAAGTTGAGTGCTGTCTAAAAAAGACAAGCAAGTTAAAGACAGTCCGGCTTCAAACGTGAGACACTGTTTGTATCTCTTTAGGCTGAAAAATATCAACATTCATTGTGGGAAAATGTGTCTAACTGAATTCTTTCACACAGATATTTAACCAGGATGATTAATGGTGGCAGTCGATGAATTGATGATTATCAAATCTTTATTACTTCAAATTATGGATATGCAGTGCACAAAAACATTGGTTGTGCCAGTAAAATTGTATGCGCAGTTGCAAAAAAATATCTCAAGAACAGTTATCTGCAGAATAATGATTATTGGTGCGAAGACTTAAGTTTTGAATAGTCATTTAGGAGATTAGTTTCTAGTTGCGCTTAATTAACATTAAGGGAGTTATGTTTAAATATTGTATTACTTATCAAGGCTAAGATAACTATTTTTGAGTTCTCATCAAAGCAGGCCAACTACATAGTTCCGAAATAAAAATCAACCCAGTAATTAATATAGCTAATTTAATGTATATTGCGTAGAATCCATTGATTTATAAGTTGTGTACACCTCACTGTTAGCGATATTTTTGGCCATAATCCCAATAATATCTCATGAGGTTTGGCTAGTTTAGGAAATTTAGTTTAGTTCTAAATTCATATACCAAGATATCTGTGTAAAATAATTCTATTAAGAAAAATATATATAAAAAATAAGTACTATATATTATAAACATTTTAACCAATACAGTTAATGAAACTAATATTAAGATAATACAGCTATTTACAAAACACATAAAAACTAGTTGTTTGCAGTTATAACCGACCCCCTATTCCATGAAAATCGTAAAACTAGTGTGTGAAAAACTTTATATAACCCTTCTTAACAATGTATGGTGACGAATGAACGGCTTTAACAGTGTTAATGTAGACGAGCTTAGTACCTGCAACACATGTTACAGATTAACTACAGAATCGGGTGGCAAGGCAGTGCAGATAGTACAACAAAAACTTAATGTTTATAGAAATAAAAAACAGTAATAAATAATAAAATAAATGAATAATATAATCAGGCAATAAAAAGTAAAAATACTTATACTATAATTGAAATAATCAAATTAAAGATAATATAAGAATTACTAAACATACTATGAGACTTTGTCAAATTACAGAGCATGTAGCCAGAAGTAGCAATGATATATATTAGCGTTTTTGTTGGAATCGAAAATTAACCAAAATTGAAATATATGACATTTAAATAATTTGCAAAATAATAATCTAGGTCGGTTGATGATGTTGATGTTGGATTGTGACAAACTCTCTCTTCATTAAATTATTCATAAAAGTGCTGATAATCATTTTTGCAAAACCTTCATAATGATATTTATGCATCCATTATGATCCACATATGAATGGTTACCAAATGAAATTTGCTCAGCGTGTTTTTCGTGAAGGTAGGTATTTGGAAGAGGTGGAAAATTCAAACCATATATCAACCACTACAAGAATGCTTGGCGACATTATGCCTTTCTGCTTATCTTAGAACTACTTAGGACTGGAATATTAATGATTAATTATCAATTTTATGGAGTAATAGGAAAATTTGTATGTCACTTAAACTCTATTAATATTCAATTCTGATCAAGTCGCCCCCTCTCCAGTGATTCAGAAGCAACTCTAAGAATTAACTACGCTAAAAAAATCGGGTTTCAATGCTCGAGGTGGGCACATTACAGATAACCTATAGATAACCAACAAAAAGAAAAAAGCTGATCAAAGCAAGCTACTTATATAGATCAGAACTGAAAATTAATCCAGTAATGGACATAGCTCATTTATTATATTGTGTTTGCATTCTTACTTATAATGATTATAATGTATCGTTTCCTCACTTATAAGGGATCCTGTAGCCATGCAAAAAAGTCATGATCCAATAAGAAATTTGATACATAAATAGTTCATAGTTCTGAAAAATGAATTTAACAATCGGATACATGGTCATTCTCGGGTTAATTCATGAAAAAATGTTTTTTTGGTCAGTTTTGATATCATTGGTATATAGCTCAAACTAATATGCTAGAGATCAGAAGGTTACCTACAGCCATAGATATCATTACTGGGCAGCTGCCCTCGTCTACAACACATCGTGGAGGTGGTACAGAAGCATAGGGCTCAGCATACTCATGGGTCTCGTCTCTCCGACCTGAAACGAAAATGTTGATCAATACTACAGTAACGAAGTTGTTGTATCGGTATTATTAGCGGATGGGCAATTAAAAAACTCAATTTATAAGTATACTTTAAACGTGTTAGTAAGATATTATTTTACTTTTAATACGGAATTAACTTTTAAAGTCCGGTAATATTTTAAAAAAAATTAAGCATACCATATCTTTTCCATGCTCATTGAAAATTTGATTTATTTCGATAAATGTGCATCGCTGGGGGCAAACCTTTTAATATAATATTGTTTTTATTTTTTGTAAATATAAATCTAGCAAGCAATTTCATTATTTTGTAAAAGTTTTCAATTTATTCATTTTCGAATTGCAATCGACTTACAATCTTTTGGAGATACAAAACTTAAGGTCTTATTAGAAATTCTGAATACTATATACTCGTACAACTAGGATAACAGTTCAATCCACTACTCGCACTCTTGCACCATGAATTAAACAATACGTGCACATAATTAACACTGTCATATGAGTCATACCCCTACTATAAACTACAAGTTTGTCAGTTTGTCCACGAACTCCTCTCACAGTTTTGGATCTAGCAGGTGGACCTGGAAGAAAGGTTCCTTATCTAAATGACGTAGCTTCATACCGGGGAAAGGGGCGGTACTGAAACGCGCTCGGAAGGCCACCCAGGCATGATGGGATCAAGAGGTAGATTTTCAGGATCGTTAAACTCGTATGTGGAATCAGTTTATATTCCAGGTAACTCTGAGATCCAAGGAGTGTCAGGTATGAAACTGTGTTCGTACTCCCAGTCATAATCTAGAGGGACCAAACGTGGCACATGTACTCACAGTTACCACAGCGGGTGTTCTAACATTTTGTTTCTGGTAGGACTCCCTTTTGTGGTAGCTATGAAGCAATTGGGGATAATGGAGAATCTTGATCAGAACACTGGGGCCTCTGTGAATCATGAGGGGGGTTCAACCCCATAGTTGCATGCAGATATTTTGTACTAGTTATCTTAACTTTATTTTACAGTCAATCAATGCTTTTCATATCATGTTATTTGTAACTAATAATAAAGAATCTCAAAGCGACTGATTTTATTCTTTAGGTTAATTTCTTGCGTGCAACAGGCTCCAAAAGGAATGAAGACAAACAAAGTTTAATAAAACTAATATTAATAGGTTTTTCTTATATTATGTTTAGTAGTTATCTGTTCGATTTTTTTTTGCTATAACATTTAATATACTTAACATTCATTTGCAGCAATAAAATAATAAGATATGTAGCGAGGTTCATTAAAAATTTAACAAATGTAATACATTTTGTTTCTTCGTCATGCAGCAATAATAAGTGGAATACTATATATATAAGATGGGTATATGTTTTAAATAGATAAATCCTTTAAATAATGCTATTGCTGTATTACTTAGTAAGACATGAACGAAACATAATATGGAGTGTATTTAGATTTAATGTAAAGAAGTGTAAAATCATGTAGTGACTATAAACGAAATATAACTCTGTATAGTGTACACAAAAGTTTATTTGTATAAACACCTTGTCTTTCTGGATAATCACTATCTTAGGCTAAGATCTTAATGTTTCTTCTTAATCGAAGTATTGATAAAATAGTGAATTAATAAAATCGTGGTATCAAGAAGTGTAACAATCAACTATCTTTGTTTGTCGTTATTTCATTCATTTTTCTTTCATAATGGTATCAACTCTTTTTACTCTTCCCTAAAATATTAACAAAACGTCTGGTTCACTGCTATCAATAATAAAAATGGTATAATATGTTATTTCCCAAGCCGCCTAGCGGGTAAACTCGTTCTTCGCGTAGAAAGTGGTATATAAACTTGAAACTTAATTGTCGATTTTTAAGCGCCTTTATTGAGGGAGTTGGAAACGCATACTAGTTACAAAATAGTGAATTGTGGTATCAAGAAATGTAAAATTCAACTGTCATTATGTGTTTGTGTGTAAATTTATTTCGTGTTTATGAATCTAAATCCCATTTACATATCATTGATTATATAGTGAGTAAATTCGTGCTTCGCTTACGAAGACTCGGAAGAGTACTTAAACTTTAGCCTTAATTGTCAATTTTTAGGTGCCTGTTGGAATTTATGTTGAGATGTAATGGTATTGCTTATATATAAGCCTTGCATTTTATTTTATGTTACTGAAGTAATTGTCTTTATAGTTATTGTTACAAACGACGTAGTTTTACACTTGTATAGAACAATGTATGTTAAACGTCGTTCACTTTTGCACATCTATAAACATAAAAGTACAACTGCACAATTAGCCAATAGAAATATTAGGTTTCTACGTTAGCTAGCACGCATACACTCACGGTCTGACTGACACATATTGTCCTTTTAATTACATAGGTTTTGATCTCATATTAAGCTTTTGCACCTACATGACAAGCGTTGGTTTAATTAAGCACCAATAATATAACAAGATCACGACCAGATGAAGCGTGAAAAAGTATGTTGGTGATATTTTTGGCATTGTCTTGGTGATAATACTTTGCATATTATTTTATTGAAAATAATAGTATAGGTGGGAGCCAATTACAAGTGTCTGAATACTACCAATTAAACAACAAATCGACATTATTATCGACATAACGAGAGTTTAAAAATTTTGTTCTATAGTTGTTTTTGTTAACAAATGGCCTACAGCTAAATAACTACTGTGCCTAATGCGTGAAATATCCTTGTTTGTATTCTGAAGATGCTAGTTTGTATATCATTTAAAGTTTGAATATAACTGAATTTTGATATATTTTATTCAGTGTAGTTCTCAACCTGTATGGGTTATAAAAATGCGATATTTTTCACAGGCTAACGGCTCGAAAACTGATTACCATACTGTTTGTTTAAAAAAAGAACATAATATATATATATATTTATACATAATAACGAATTTAATATAGACTTGAAAACGTTTAGATTGTTGAATCGGTAATCAGCAAATTAATAGCAAATAAATCTAGAAAACCTATATTATTTTACTGTCTCCCCTTGAATTGAGTTTTCTTAGTGATTTTTGCTGGAGATGCCTACAGGCTCAGGCTACATATTATAAAACAATAATAGGAGTTCAATGAAAGCTTTGGTGGCAGTTGTACTTGGTCTTATATGTCCAGTGGTGTAAGGTTAACTTAGGTAATTTCTCAAAGTTCTAAAGTAGTAGGATGTAAAAAGTCTGCTGAAACTTATGTGTTTTATATCAAAAACCTATATGATGGGTTATCTGTACTCTGTTGACCGCAAGGAATTGAAACTCAGATTTTTAGCAATGTAAGACCGTAAACCTGCTATTCGACGGCTAGCTGCGCTAGCAGTCTTTACTTTAGAAATGATAGACCAGAGGAAAGGCAGCTAATTAATACCATTCACCATTAACTCTTGTATTACATTTTTTATCAACGAAAAGTGAAATTGACCGTCACATTATAACACCCCTATGGCTGAAAGGGATAGTATGTTTGGTGACAGGATTCGAACCCCCCATCTACAGTTAAGGTATCGAGCGCCCTAACACCAGACCATGACAGGTCTTATTTACAGAAATAATAATGTTATCTCTCATTATATTAATATTGAGATGCTATAAAACAATATAAAACACTGAGTTATAACAAGAAAGAAACAATTGTTCCCTATGAAATTTTATACTTACAAAGACAAATAGATTTTAAAGAGAGAATTTCAAAACTTGCTCAATCCTTAGCGTAAAGATAAGATCCGATTGTGTTACTATTATTTTTCGTAATTAATTTACTTACATTTTGAATTTAAAGCAAAAGATTTAGCAATGTTGGATTAGTATTTGGGAATGGTCTCAGTGATGTTTAGAAAGAGAAAATAACAACTTGTTTATCCCCCAAGAAATTCTAATTGGTCTTTGCTTTCTGAGAAGTCACGCAAGAATAATTTTCAAGCGATATTAACTAAAACCATTATTGGATTGCAATAATTTTAAAATTCTCGTATGATTTGTTGTGAAAATATTTTTTTTGTCATTATTATTTCGGTGACAGAGGAGGGTTGGGGAAAAAGGAATAAGTTTTTTTTTCTGTTACTCGTGCAAAGATACTCAAGAGTTGCCTGAGTTAATCTCCTTTAACTGTAAGCTGATAGAATGAAAGGAAGACAGTTAAACTAATAAAAAACAACAACCACTGCTTCTAGGGCTATAACTGTCTGACCGAATAGTGGAATTTGACCGTCACCCTAATAACGTACCCACGGACCCAACTTCGGAGCGTGATTTACTTTTTGCGCTATTGGGACGCGAACGATAATCCGCAGATCTTTAGTCCTGCATAATAACCATTGAGCCACGCTCCGATTATAAATGAAAGGAAACTATTGTACCTTTGCGTCATGCTCGCCCTTTCAGTCGTAGGAACGTTATAATGTGACTGTCAATCCCACTATTCGTTGATAAAAGAGTAGCCCAAGAGTTATAGGTGGATAATGCTGACTAGCTGCTTTCCCTCTAATTTTTCACTGCTGAATTAGGGATGGCTAGCGCAGATAGCCATCGTGTAGTTTTGTGCGAAATATACAAAACAAAACCAAAATAACTACTTTTGCTATTTGTAGTGAAAGTTCAGTGGATATATAGGCCCCTTATAGGAAAATTTTGTCCCAAGGTCTCTCAAATCCTTGTTAAGGTTCTGTGTATGCCATAGAAACAATGTGTTATGCTAATTAGTCATGAGGCTGATATATTTTTCTGATAAATTTTATATTATCCAGTAATACAGATTTTAGTAATGTTTTCCCGATTATGTTTGTCGGTTCCTAAATAAATTTCTAGGATAATATTTTGTTTATATAGAAACAATGCTAAATGTTCCAACTTTCTCAAGACAGCGCCAGAACTCCTGTCTCTGATATATATAACAAAAATATGAAAAAATCAAAATCATTTGAACTAAAACAACTTACTTCGATTCCCGATTGAATCTATACCCCGCTATACCATTCCAATACTCATATTAAAATATTAAAGCATGGCTAATGTCTTTATTAAAGTAAAAGAAAACCTTGTGGTATACATTTATTGAAAACTTGAAATTGGGTAAATAAACTTACGCATTCGACCTCTAGCGGCAACAGGGGTAGGCTTTCTAGTCGGTGATGAATAGTAAGATGGCTTATAAATTGGTTCCATTTCTTTCGGTGGTTTCTGGGGAAACTCTGCCATTCCCACGTTTTCAACTTGTCTACTCTTTCGTGGTTGACCATCTGAAATTAATATAATAAAAACTATTTAATATTTAAAAAAAAGGAGAAAATGTATTTATAAAACGAAATCTAAACAAAAGAATAATATAATCCTACAAGTAAAACACATTACAACTCACATCTTGATTTATTCCAGAGAAGGAGTCATACGTAAAACTAAATAATTCAAACATGCAACATTAGTGATTTCATAAATTTCTTTCGAACATTAAAGCTTAGCTCAATGGATTGTAATCTCGCGTCAAAAGTGTTGACGTGATGCAAGAATACCTCACATAGCATTTACATTCCTATATCAAACTAATCCAAAATATAATATATCAATTTTACAAGCAAGTTTTATACAACCTTAGAGAAAAAACTGGCTATTTGATTCAGCTTTTATGCTGCATTACCTAAACCAAAAACAAGATTAATCACCTCCGCTGCTATTCCCTGTGCTGTCATCTGACTGCCTTTTCAAGCACACTAAAACAACAATGGTGACCACTAGAAGCACGATGATGGAAAATATTACCGGTAATATCACAGTCAGGTTTCTGTAAAAGGGTAAAGTTGAATCCCAGCCTGCTGGAGGCTTTGCTGGCGGAGGCAACGTTGCTGCTGAGGCTTTATGTAATTATAGAATACCAGTAAATCTTCTTGAAACAACACACAGCGTTTCAGTAACAAGAATTGTTAGGCTGAATCAAACAATCAATGAAATATATATATATATATTAAGCTCAAAGTATCTTTCCTAAAATACAAAAACAACAACAAGAACATTATTTCCAATACATATTAAAAGAATGGCATGATGCAAATCTTACAGTACAACTTATCTACTAAATATTTCTAATGGAGACTCATACAACTGCTATATTTAAGGTGTATCATAGCTCTCTATAGTACAATACATATTAAAAGAATGGCATGATGTAAATCTTACAGTACAACTTATCTACTAAATACTTCTAATGGAGACTCATACAACTGCTATATTTAAGGTGTATCATAGCTCTCTATAGTACAATACATATTAAAAGAATGGCATGATGCAAATCTTACAGTACAACTTATCTACTAAATATTTCTAATGGGGACTCATACAACTGCTATATTTAAGGTGTATCACAGCTCTCTATAGTACAATACATATTAAAAGAATGGCATGATGCAAATATTACAGTACAACTTATCTACTAAATATTTATAATGGAGACTCATACAACTGCCATATTTAAGGTGTATCATAGCTCTCTATAGTACAGTTATTTAAATATTAAAGTATCATTGTGTTTATCTTTTTTTCCCTTTTTCTATTTCTACAAGCCTGATACAAAACTAAGTTTAGTAGTGAAATGGGGAAGCGGGACTAATATAGTATCCTGATCTTCTTTGAGTGCACGATTCATAACCACTAGCATATCGAATATGAAGTCTTCATGGCATGTGAGAGATAAAATGTGCTAGTACTCTAGCTCAAGAATCATTATTTTCGTTTTGCTAATGTGAGCTACGGAGATTAAATTTAAGAATATAGGCAAAAATATATTTCAAATCCTCTCCCGAGATCAAAATTCTAAATATCATCAGATACACATGAGTATAAAACGCGTAATTTTGTATAACTTTCAATAAAAAAGTATCATGTGCGTATCTAACCTCAGGAGGTTCAAGTGCCATTCATCTCGTATTAACTTATTCAAAATACTACAGAGTGTATGATTTACCACCTGTCGCCTTCAGATGTAAGATGAAAATTCATGTTATATAATTTGTATTATGAGTAAGTCATTAAGATTATAGTGGATCATACAAAGCAGGGGATTTCGCCACGTAGGATTAAAATATATTGATTGCTCTGCTGCAAAAATGCAGTTCTTTTTACGATTGTTTGTATATAATTTTCCTTGTTTCATGGTAATCCAATTCTGTACAATGTCAAAGTCGTGGACTGCCCTGATTTTCTTAAGTCCTTTCATTGCACCTGTTCAAAAAATTTGAAACAAATAAAGAAAATTCTATTTTAGGGATACATTAAGTATTTGGTGTGACCTGGAAAAGTTGAAGGAAAGAATCAGAACAGCATCCACAACATAGCATATCAAATACTACAAAACAGAGCTGCAACCAAAGTAAAATAGTAACATTTAATATCTGCAATTTTCCCTCAAGGCTACACAAAGTGCTATATGTAAATAAGTTTGAAGCGATAGACTAAAGGGAATAAGTTAGTCAACAGCATCCATCTGTAAATTTTGTATGACCAATAGTGAGATTTGACAGTCACTCTTATAACGCATCTACAGTCCTAAAGTGCGAAGTGCGTTTTTGCAGTAACGAATCGCGAACCACGAATCCTCGGATCCACAGTCCTAGCACATTAACCTTTAGGCCACGCTCCCCAACCTAAAAGACAAAATGTAATGACGTAAGACCAGGAGAGCGTGCAGAATCCACAAAATACAAAATCATTCCCACATATTCTTTCAAGTATAATGACACTACAACTAATTATTGTAAGAAAACAAGCAAAAAAAGTTAGTAAAATACGTCTTTATTTGTTTCGGTTATTCGCATAAAGTTACAAAAGTTATTTGTGCTAGCCGTCCCTCACTTTTAACTGATAGACAAGGGAGACAGTAGTTAGTCAACAGCTTTCACGATCAACTCTTAGGCTACTTCAAGTGAATAGTTGATTTTCGTTCTTATAATTTACTCTTGACTCCAAAGTTGGGAATACAATTTTTTATTTTCGTTTTTGTGCTAAAGAAACGCCAACCATGGGCGATTGGACACACAGTCAGGCCGGCTTATCATTGGTCCACGCCCACTCTATTAGTGAAACATAAATTAGGAATTAAAATTAGTATGGGCGGGAGCTTAGAAATGTCATATTAGTGTGCGACACTTACATCATTTCCTAATTCATGTAAATGCATGTAGCTTTGGTTTTATTAAATAATGTTTCCTTCGCGTCCCAAAACTGTATCTTTAAAAGACTTTAAGCTGTTAAGGAATAATGTAGGTGTCATTTGTGTGTTGCCAATGGAACAAATGGACAAAAAATGTACTATATAAACACGCACTCTGAGATTAACTTAGGATTGTAAGATAAAATACCTGATACTCTTAGGATATTTCTGGAAAAGTTGTGAAGTTTGCAGACGTGTTTTTATGTCTTTAATTTGCCGTTTTATTTTACGTTTTTGTAAAATCACTATGTATTGTCTTGGTTCATTACGAATTCAAAAGCACGTGTTTGTGTGCTTATTTATTAATATTATGTTTACTTGTGGGCATTTGTAGTTTATTTTAAGAAACTTGTTTGTTTGTTGTAAAGCACTTAGCTACATAATATACTATCTGTGTTCTGCTCATCGCGAGTACTGAAGCCCGATTTTTATCATTATAAGCCCATTGTCATCCCTCGGAGCCAACAAGTGGATTTGAAGTAACACTTTGATATTTAGTTATTACTGTTTTATATTTCAGCTAAATCTCTTTTCTTAATTAATTATCCTTCGGTAACTCAGCGATAAGTTAGTGGGCTTAAAACGCTAAAAATAGGGTTTCGATACCCATGGTATATATATATCACAGATAGCTGATTATGTCGCCCTGTGCTTACAACAAACAAACAAAACATAATTATTATTTTTTAATTTTGTTCAAATATAAGTTAGTTTTTTTTTACTACTTCCGTTGCAGCTTGCCGTCCGATGCCTCAGCGGTAAGCTCGTGAGATTATAACAATAAAATTCGGAGTTCGATTTCATGCAGTGGACACAGTGCAGATCACCCCTTGTGTAGTTTTGCGCTTAAGAAGACAAACCGTTGAAAATCAATAAAGTTTCATTCTGGTCATTAAGAAACCAATAACAAAGGTGGAATATTTTGTTATTATTTTTATGTCCTTGATCAAAATATATAACTTTTATTTAACAAAATATTTTGAAAGACAAGGTGTAATTTGTTTTCGTATTGTTTTTACTTGACAAAAACAGTCTTTAAAGAATATTCAAAAATTCTTAATAAAATTGTATTGAGTATCCTACATTTACCGTCCAAGCTAGGGAGTAGACATTTTTCAAATTAAAATACAAAAGGATAAGCCTCAAGCAACAGATACGAGTCATAAATGAGATGAGCATCAACTGTATTAATAATAAATCCACTGTCTTTATAATTCACATTTGAAATAAAATTCAGTTTACCAAAGAACGTGTAGTTCAACGTCTGAAATGTATATTCAGCTTCCGTAGTCCCTGCTTCATTATGTGCACTAACTAAGAGACTGTATTCCCGACCAGGCGCTAGATGTCCTATTTTCAAGAACTTCTGCAGCGCCATCATTCGAGAAGCTACAGTATTCCACACATGATGAAAAGTGGGCCGATATCGAATGGAGAAATATTGTATAGGGCAACCTCCATCTTCCCAGGAACTCGTGTTTAAAGTCACAGAAGTTGCGTTTATTAACAGAAACGTTCTCTTGTGTGGAGACACAGGAGCTAATAGATTATGAAAGAATAAAGTATATATATATGCATGTTAGCTAGGTTGTTGGTGACCCAAACAAAAAAAAGATTTACTTTTTAAATACAAAACCATTTGAAAAGTAACGGGTGTACCGTTTTTATTTAAAGTATTTGTGAATACTAAATAGCCATACATTAAAATGGTATTAACTTATAAGAACTTTTACGACTTTGAGTGGAATTAGTTTGAAGATTTGCCATTTGACGTAAATTTTCAATGGCCGATTTCACTGTAAAAGATAGTTTACAATAGAAATCTGTAAAAAATGTCTTAACTACTCGTGCTACATATAATATCCCGACTAGAAGTAAACCAGCATGACAGGTCAACAAAGTTGGGTATGCTTTAATAATAAATTCATAATATTTAATCAAACATACGATTTTATTTGATGAAGAAGACCTTAACCCATCCTTCAAACATTCAACATATAAAATACATTGTACCATACTCTTACCTTTTAATAATTTCTAAAACGTGTTCACAGCATAAACATCAACAGTAACTTTATAGTTATTCGCAAGAAAGAATAATTTTCTCAGAAAATGATATTTGTATGAGAAAAAAAGAAAAAGTAAAGAAATAACATTTGAATATAAAACAGCAAAAATATAGTTGTTTTCCCTCAAATCAGATTGTTTTATTATAAATTTACTTTTATAAGTATCAACGTTTTTTATCAGTTTTTTCTTTACTATAATAGTGATTAAGTTTTTCTTAACTCATATAAGATTTCGTTTATTCAATTCGCTTTCAACTGGGTGTTTACAGTATAATATATATATATATATATATATATAGATAGATAGATAGATACGCATCAAATTGTTTGTGGGTTCATGACTTTTTTGGTTACAGATCTACAACAGCATATGAATCACGAAAAATGAGCAAAAATACTGTCAATATTAAAATTACTCCCATTAATTACTGAAGGGGTTTCTGTGTATTTTGTATAAAAGAATAATGATGCCACCCAAATTTTTTGTTACCTCTTTACAATGAGTGTTCTGACAGAATTTTATATAAAATTACTTAATATGATACAGCTTATGAACATCACTAGTAATGAATAGTATGTAACCAAGTCGGAAACTTGAGGGGTAAAAGACGTAAATTAAATGTTCAATGTTTTTAAAGTGGGTCTCTAATTTTTATCTTAGTGTAATCTTTTCTTTACCGTATGATAGTTTTGGATGAAAATAAAAAAGGGTGTGGTTATTAAGGTGGAGCAATCATGAAGTAATTATAATGCAGTGCAAACAATTTTCTAAAACATGAACAGCCATCAAGTTAGAGACTAACTAGTTACCTCCTCCTTTGGTTCGGCCTATAACTGTTGAACTTGGTTCTCCTGTGCCAAGGCTGTTGGATGCTGTCATGTAAAGTCTGTAACGGGTACCACACTGAAGGCTTTTTAGAGTGTATTTGTGAGTTTTCGTAGTTATTCTTTCTTTCATCCAACCTTTTTCTTCTGCCTTGTAGTGAACAATATAATCTAGAGATAAATAAGTATAAAAGAAATGGTTGTTACTGAAACAAATCCATACTGCCTTAGTCGAGAAATCACAAAATTAGCATTTGTTAGGTTTGTTTGTTTTGAATTTCGCGCAAAGCTACACGAGGGCTATCTGCGCTAGCCGTCCCTAATTTTGCAGTGTAAGACTAGAGGGAAGGCAGCTAGTCATCACCACCCAGCGCCAACTCTTGTGCTACTCTTTTACCAACGAATAGTGGGATTGACCGTCACATTATAATGTTCCCACGGCTGAAAGGGCGAGCATGTTTGGTGGGGCGGGGATTCGAACCCGCGACCCTCAGATTGCAAGTCGAGCGCCCTAACCACCTGGCTATGCCGGGCCTGCATTTCTTAGGAAGAGAAACACTACAATAGAGATTTTCTGTTGTTGTTGTTGTTGTTCTTTGAAAGAAAAAAAGAGTGGTTTCCGCAGTAACGAAAAATATTTTAGAAGTATTATATCAATATAAGAATACTTAAACTGAGTAAGCAATAGCGAATGACAAAATTTAGTCCTATATCGCACCCAGATTTCTTCTTGAACGATGAGATGGTACATCTAAAATTTCTAACATAAAATTTAAAAACAAACGACAAAAAAAATTAAAATTATAAGACCCTTAAAATAATTTTATCCACAAAACTTTAATCGAATCAAAAGTTTAAGATTCTGTGTTTATCAAGGATAACAACCTATTTATCTTTTGAGTCTGTTTGTTTGAGAATATTTGCGCAAAGTTAGACAAAAAGCTATCTGAGCATAGCAGTCCCTAATATAGTGTTACTGATAGGTTAGAAGGGAAGACATACTCAACAGCACCCACCGCCAATTCTTGAGCTTTTCTTCTCTGATCGAATAGTGAGATATGATCGTCTGTCTTATAACGCGCGCGCACAGCCAAAACATGGAAAGCTCGATTTTGCGTAATCGGGCCTCGAACTAAACCCTAAAATTCACATTCCGAGCACTCTAGCCTCAAGACCACACCCGGCTGTATTTTAAGTCACCTAATAATACCGAGTCGCTAAGTTTATTAGGTGAGTAAAGTCAAAAGTATGTTTTTATTCGAATAAAGAATATATTCCTAAAAAGAAGCTTTCAATCGCTATGCCCTACTGCCTGCATATATACAATACTTATTTTTCCACTTTCCTTATCTTGCAATTTCCTTACTTAAATAATGGTATATTCACTTAATCTGTCAAAATCTTTCATTTTTCATTTTTTTATTACTTTTAAGTTCAGAGTCACCGCTCTTCTCCCATTCGATAGTAATAGATGATGATGTTGTCGATACCACTGCCAATCCCGGGGAGGTAGGAGGAGCTAAGAAAAAATGAAAAGATAAATCATATTTAATTCCTGGGGATGTTTTCCATATTACTGGTAAAGTAGATTACTAGATTAGCAACTTTTCGTGAAAATAGGATGAATTTTGATCGCATTAAAGTTGATCAACAAATATTTTGACACATTCAAACAAAGCCTTTAGAACTAATACGTTTCAACCATTACACAAGGATATAAGCATGGCTAATGTAATAAATTAACTTAAGACATACATCTGAAAAAATAACAAAACATACACTTAACCCTCTCGCAAAGTGCGCTTGTCATGACCATTTACTGAGTTACATTCAAAATTTAATTAAAATGCTTTATTATCACGTACTTAATAAATGAAGTTTTATAAGGAACTATTTAAAAGGGTAGGTCAAAGTGCGCTTGTCATGACCATTTACTGAGTTACATTCAAAATTTAATTAAAATGCTTTATTATCACGTGCTTAATAAATGAAGTTTTATAAGGAACTATTTAAAAGAATCTCAATCTTCCCTAGTTCGAAATTAGTGAAATTTGTTCTAAAGATTTTTCCCTTCTCTAATTTATTTACCTTCCCTCTCTGAAGTACGGTATTAAATGTAAATTACTTATTATAATATATATGTTTTTTAACCTTTAATCTTAATTGTTTAGGGAGTCACAAACTAGCAAATTAGACTCATTTGCTGCGCCCAACTGTTACATCTTTTCTTTCACAAATCGCCAATAATTTTCTCTCTCACGTTTTATACTAAATCATTTTTTGCCAATCGAAAAGTAAAATTTAATGTATCGACTGACGTATGATGTTGCGTTGTTTTCAGTACAAAGTATTTTCAATTTCGTCTTTGAAAGTTTATCTCGCGATGTTCAGATCAAGCAGTTAAGAAAAAATAATTTAAGCCCTCTTGTCTTAGTTAGAAAGCCAGTTTTTATTATAATAGTTATAGGACATTGTTTGCTTTGTGCGTATTATTATTCTGTATTTTAAGTTAAAAAAAAAAATATATACAAAACAAGAGATCAAATATAAATACTATATTTTTTGTTTTTCATATATATTTTATTTATTAATATAAAAGCAAATAAAGTGTAAAAATTAGAAACTTATTAAGTTAGATAAAGTTAAATTAGTTTAAAATAATAAATAAATACTATTAATAAAAATTGCTCACGAGCAACTCGTGTCTTTCAAGATTGCGAATTGAAATACTGATCCTAAACAAAGGTTTCTGAAGATAATAATTTATATGTGGTCATTCTTAAAATACAAATCAAGACATTTCAAATATGTATTCATCGAAGATTGTTTTCAAAGCCATCGAAATTACAAACATGATTCTAAGGTTGTAGCCTGGATTTTATCAGACTGAGGTCCAGCTCCTGCGTTATTGTAGGCTTGTACTAGAATGTTGTAAGTTGTAAGACGTCGAAGGTTTGTAAGGTAGCTTGTCACATCTCCACTTCCAGGACTCAATATAGTTTTATACTGGAATGATTCTATGCTGTCTTTTTGCTTATATCCTAGATAGTAACCCTGTAACTTGCCGTGGAGTAAATGCTTTTGAGGAGGCTAGAGAGATAGAGTACACCATATACAGATACATATTATTGCAAGGATTAAACTTACAGTTCATTTTTTTTATATTTTGTATGTAATATTAATTTCAATAATATCTATTTCAAAACAGAATAAAATTGAAATATATCTCAAATACATTTATGAATGTATCTCAGATATTTCTCACTAGAGTATGAGATAAAAAGTTCGAAATCATTACTACATATTCAAATAAAGTACCACGTTTGTATTACTGACAATATTATAAGTTCTTGTTACTGTAAATTTACTCTGAAAGTGAAAAAAACAGCTTTCTCACTTCAGCTAATTACACTAGAATATGTCAAAAATATTCTTGTAGCTTAAAGTTTAGAATTAAGTATTAATTAAACTTAATTTCTATGACTATTTACTTATACATTTCTTGAATAATTTGATGGAATATAACAAAAAACCCGCAACTCAAATGATATTGGATCAGGTTTAAGAGTCTGAATACCAATGACATTTGAAACCTCCTAGGGTAGGAACTCAAATTAATGACAACGCTGAGTCGTTTATATTATTACCATAAATGTAAGTTCAAAATAAAAACGCTAATTTCTTATTTCAGCTAATAACGCTAGAAATTTGCCTCTATCGTGAATTATAATGTTAACCATTAGCTAAACATAATTAAGATAACTGACCATTTATGTTTTTTATCTTTATGTGTGTGGGACGGTGTATGTGGAGACTTTTTTAAATTCTTAAATGTCATTAATACACAAAAGCTATATATGTAAGACGATTTTTCTTTAATGAAATGAATGCCTTTGTAGACGTTATAAGCTATATAGGGGTAGTACAGTGTAAGTGGTGAGAGTTGATTGGTGTTTATAAAGCTAAGAATGGATTAAATATCTTCAGTTTTTGTTCTTATATTACTGTGAGTTGCATCGTACCTTCCATGTGACCTTTAAAGAATGTGCTCCATTAGCTTCAACTCTAACGTTTAATGGCGGACCACCAGGAACTATTGAAAAAAAAAGACAACACAACATCAGACTGTTTACTGAAATCATTAAATTAATCTTAACCCATAAAATAACACAATCCAATAGAGAGGCAGTGCTTTAGTAGAAATATCGTGTAGGATAATGGATAAAGAGTGTCGAAACTCCCTATTAAAATTGTTAATGTTGGCCCTTCAGTGACAAATATATGCAAAACTAGCATTTCAGTTATGGTTATCAATGAGGTTGCTTCATATTAACAGTCAATCCACTTTTTTAATGATTAGAATACTTCATTGACACTGAGTAAATAGGCAGTGTTCCTATACATACTAAGATAATTTATGAATACAAAGTACATATAGACATAACTTTAGCATTGAGTAAAAGCTAAACTGTTTATATAAACCAATAATAATAATAATGAGACTTTCAACAAGAGCATTTTTCTTTTACCTTCTTCCGCTGTAACTAAGGTTAAAACTTCACTCGGCTTACTTTTACCGAGCGAATTCTCAGCTATGATTCGTAAGTCATATGAAGAAACCGGAAATAGATTTCTGATGGTAGCTGACGTCTCGAAACCAGAAACGCTAATTTGCAAACAATGGTTCCAATCGTCTTCAAAGAAAAAATAACTATGAAATAATCTGCCAGACGAACTAAGAATACAAGTATAATAAATCTAAGGCAAAAATCTAAAAACAATGCTTGAAAATCCAATAATTACTTTCAACCAATGTTAGAGCCCATGAAAAGAGAATAATAATATTCAAAAATACAGTTGTTGAATGAACAAACAAAAAATTGCAAATATGAATTTAAAACCAAGTATTGAAAGTAGATGCATGTATTAAAATGTTTTAATTCTATTGTTTGCTTCTGGCTGTTTATAATTTTTATTGGTCAACAAAAATATTTTACGTTAATAAACTGGCTCGAATTTTGTAATAATTTAGATAATCACATCTAAAAACAAACTTAAAATTAATAACTTAGATAACATTGATATAATTATAAAACTTTGTGATATGATTGCTTCAAACTTACAGTATTCGTTTCTTTAAGGTTATGGTCGGAGGTAAATACAACTGCTTTTGCCAAAATTCACGTACAAATTTTTTTTTAAATATTCTGTATGCCCATAAGCCCTCCGACTCTCTGGAGACATCTATGATTTACCAACGAAACAGGATGGAAGAAAGCATGTAATACTGTGCACATCTTTCAATTCATGGTGTAGCTGCTAAATAATTTGTAGTTGATACTGTGACATAGTCGTCTCTTTTAAACTTTCTGCAGCATAATTTCATTGATCCATTCGGTACAAAAATTGCCGACGCCAATGCTTTATTGAATTCGATGTTGGCGCCTCTTCGTTCTGTTGTATATAGATTATCGACCTAAATTTTCCATATCACAATCTATCATTGTGTATTTCTAGTGCATATCACAGTTTTATTTTTTAATTGGATGCCTAAGTAGCGCCATCTATCTACTGCAGTTAAAATTAAATATTACTTATGCATTAAGAGATGAGAGGATTGTTATGCATTTTGCTAGATGACTCTATCGTTTTTAATTCAAAATTTCTAAAAGTAAGCAAAGTGAAAATGCTTTTTATTCAGTTTTTTAGTTGTCTCATTTCTGTTTTTCAGACGAGATTAAACTGTTGAGAAACAACAATATGATTGGCCTCGGATTCCATTTTCTTTTTTGTTCTTCAGTACATTTGCAACATGTGTAAAACTAAAGCTATACCAACAATAAAGTCATGATGGGGAAAACGAGGTCTAATAATGAAGATGAAGACGGCTTATAAAACACAAAACATTTTATTGACAAAGTTTGATCGTTTCGGAAAACATTCATTCCACCTTCAGTGAATCTGAAAATCGTGTTATGAAGACGATTATTGACTAAAACTATATTATCACAATTACTAGTTTACTGAGTTTTTAAGAAAAGTATTAAACGGAAAGATAAAAAAACAATGGATTATAGATATGTTGCACAACAGTTCAGTTTAAG